TGTTTGATGATGATGATGAATTAATTGATCTCATTGAATTGAATGTTTGATTTAGAGTGAACTCAGAAGATTTGAGAGGGAGGATGCTGAGGAAGAAGACGAGGGCAAAATTGTAAATTTAATAAATTAAATAATTATATTTATTTGATTTGGTGGTCGGGATTTTAGCCACATCATTTATTTATCCTCGTTGGCAGTTGATGTATTAAATATTTGTACACGTCACTTTCATTCCGTCAGTTAATAAGCCACCTCAGCAAAAATTTGACGGAAGGACCAAATCGGGGTCAAAATGGTAAACAGTAGGGACCAAATCAGGGATTTTTTGAGTTGAGGGACTGAATCGGGGGTCCGTACAATAGTTGAGGGACCAAAATTGGGGTTTAACCTATTTTTTACATACATGACAGCTTTGATGACAAAAATTTCAAAATAAAAAGATTAAAAAAATCTCTTTTTAATCTCTTTACTTAAAAAACTTCTTTTTTTATTTATAAATCAAAATTTATTAAAAAGGATACAAAGATACTCACCCTTACAAAAGAAAAAAAATACTCACCTTTACTTAAAAGACTATTTTTTAGTTCATTTATTCTAAAATTTTTATCATATAATGTTTTACATATACAAAATAATAAAAAAAAAACTAAAATAGGGTTGAACAATAATCTTTAAAGATTAAAAAGAAAATAATTTTAACCTGCAATATAATACCGACAAAAAGATACATGTGGGTGCCATATTCATTTATCTTTTTTCAATAATATATGGATGCTTTGTCCAATTACATTTTCTTTTCGTGAAAAGGTGTGTACTAACCTACAAATCTAGGCCGAGATGTTTCCACGAGGACGGAAAGATAGGCTGCAATTGTGACGGACAGCTAACATGACTTTATGAACCTTTCCTGTGAGTCAAGTGACGTTAATCACACTTAAAGTTCATCACCTCTTTTCCCAAGAACAACAGTTCACCGGCTTCATAATTAAAATATTCAAAAAAATATGACTTTATGTATCCATGGGACTCCAACATACATGGTGTAATTATTTTTTTTAATTTTAAATTATATAATAAAAAATAAATTTTTTACTTTTAATTTATTTTACTTATATTTTATATAATTTAAATTTAAAAATTTTTTTATAATAAAAAATTATTATTAAATTATTTAAATAATTAATAAACAATTATTTTTCTTGATATAATATAATCATTTTATAATGCTACATCATTTTTTGTTATTTTTTATGCTTACCTCCTCGTTTCAGATTAAAGTATATAATTGGTCCTTTATCTTATTAAATTTAAAATTTTTAACCCTTTATCTTATACTATGAAATTTTTAGCCTTTTAAGTATAATAGAATCCGTTAACTCTCCATTAAGTAAGAATAAAATATGTACATGATCAGTCGTAAAAAATGAAAAATATAATAATTTAATTTCAAAAGTTTAAAAATTAAAAAAATTAATAAATTAAAAATAATTAGTGAATGTTTTTGTCATGTATATAAAAACAATATTAGATATCTAAAATAAAATTGATTGATTAGTTCAATCTAAAGAAAAAAATTTGACGGAGACTAAAGAAAATATTTTAACTATATTCTTTTAGTCTTTTAGAATTTTTATCTTGATTCAATTAAAGAAATTTCTTTAATCTCAATTAGAATTCTTTCTTTAAATTGAACTAATCACTTGATTTATTATAGATGTCTAATACTATTCTAACATACATGAAAAATTCATCTGTTAATTCCTTTTAATTTACTATTTTTTTACAATTTTAAACTTTTGGAACTAAATTATTACATTTTTAAAATTTGAGCATTGATCCTTTAAATATTTTATTCTTAATTTAACGGAAGTTAACTGATTTTATTAGTCAAGGGGTTAACATCTTCAAACCTTTAAGTTTAGAGACTAAAAACTTTATAGTATAAAATGAGGGATTAAAAATTTCAAACTTGATAAAATAATGGGCTAAATGTATGGTTTAGCCCTCGTTTCTTGTATTATTAGATTATTACATGGTCCAAGGGCTATATATAAGGCTATAAATGTATGGTTTAGCCGTCGTTTCTTGTATTATTAGATTATTACATGGTCCAAGGGCTATATATAAGGCTAAATTTTTGTGCGAAGGCACATGCCAAAGTGGAATTAGTTCAAGAGCTTAAAAGTAAAATTTTTTCATAAAACGGATCATTGAGAGGGGGAGAGAGAGAGAGAGACTAACGGGTTTAAGGATCTTATCTTCCATGGCAATATATAGAGAAAGATTTTAATTCTACATATATGACAAGATATACTGAAAAGGTTTTCTTTTTTATCAATCGAACTAATTAAACAAATTATATTAATATTATGCCGAAAGGGTTTAATGTCATTAATTTATAGGTGTTTGATCATACATTGTTTTGCATTCATGTTTATACCAGGGAATGTTTTCTGGCAAGTACAATTGATTCTTCAACTTTATGAACATTATTTAAACAATTTGAAAAGGAATAGCTATTTCTTCCGATTTGCTTTTTCATGTCATCAGGTTATAAGGCACACAAAACATGAATTACCCTTAGCTTTCCCTATTTCAACTCCATTCCATTGTTGTTGGAACTTAATTAAAAACTTGAACCATTTCTAAGGCAGTGTATCTCAATTGGTAAGAACTTAAGGTGGGTGGAGAGACTAGAGAGTTATAACAATGAAAAATTAACTACTTCAAAAAGAGAGAGATTTCCTCTAAACCATAATTTAATTTGGCATTGTATACTCTTTACATCATATAAATTACTCTAAATTTAATGATATAGGTTTTTTTTAAATTAAATGTTTTGCGATTTAAATAGTATTGAATTATATAAAGCATAAACTATTGAAGAGTGAAAGAAAAACTTTCATTAATTCATTCAGATTATTTAATTTTAAAATAAATTGAAATTGACCCTAGAACCAAAAAGAAAAAGACTGCAATAGTTTGTTTGGTTTTAAAAAAGTGAGGTTTTAAAAAAGTGAGGCTTAATTTCCTTTTTTATATAAAAAAAAAAGGTTAGGCCTAATGATTTAATTTAATTAGTTAAAATAAAAAAACTATTTTTCTTTCCCTCTTCTCCTTTTTCTTTCATATCTCTCAGATCTAATACACTATAAAAATTATTATTAATCCGACTAAAGGTGTAAGCCAATAAGTCCCATAAAGTTAAAGCCAAGGCGGCTATGCATTGACAAAGAAAATAAAACCAAGAAAATTGAAAATAAAATGCCATGTGGGTCCCATGGTCAAAAAGAGAACGTGACTGTTAGGTGATTACTTAAAAATTTTTCCTTTTCAATGGCACATGTGGGTAGTTTTGCAAATTACATTTTCTTTTCGTGAAAAGGTACTAACCGACAAAATGAAGGCGGCTATGCATCCTCCCGATTTATGACTCTAACACAGGCTTCAATGATGGAGATTGAATGGTTCATATTTTTTATTGATTGGTGCACTTTTTTATTTTAGTATATT